CCCTTGCAGAGCAAGGGGGACGTCCCTGATGTTTTGATCCCTTGGATCCGCACTGTTCGTCTCCAGCTCCGCGAGCGGTTCCAGTCGGACTTTCCTGTCCTGCGTCTGCACTCTGACAGAGGTGGTGAGTTCTCCTCCGACCTCTTGGCAGCCTACTGTGCGGAGCACGGCATCCGCCAGACGTTCACGCTTCCGGCCTCTCCGCAGTAGAATGGGGTTGCTGAGCGCCGCATTGGCTTAGTCATGGAGGTCGCTCGTACCTCCATGATCCATGCGGCTGCCCCCCATTTCCTGTGGCCGTTTGCGGTCCGGTACGCCGCGCATCAGCTCAACCTCTGGCCCCGTGTCTCCTTGCCGGAGACCTCGCCCACACTGCTGTGGACGGGGAAGGTTGGCGATGCATCGCGTTTCCGGGTCTGGGGTGCCCGTGCCTTTGTTCGCGATACCACCGCGGACAAGCTCTCCGCCCGCGCTGTTCCCTGCGTCTTCCTTGGCTTTGTCCCTGACGCGCCTGGTTGGCAGTTTTACCACCCCACCTCGCGCCGTGTCTTTGCGTCTCAGGACGTCACGTTCGACGAGTCGGTTCCCTTTTACCGTCTCTTCCCCTACCGCACTGCCCCGCTCCCCCCCCCCGCCGCTCTTCCTCGCTCCAGGTGCTCCCCAGGTAGACCCCCTCCCCGCTCCCGGTCCTGCTCCTTCAGGTGTGTCTCAGGTAGACCCTCCTCCCTTGACTGCGCCGGTTGAGGTCACTGGTGACTCAGGTCCTGCTGAGGGTGGTCCTGCTCGGGGTGCTACTTCTGGGGGTGCTGAGCCTGGGGGTGCGGAGCCTGGGGGTGCTGAGCATGGGGATACTGAGCCTGGGGGTGCGGAGCTTGAGAGTGTGGAGCCTGGAGGTGCTGAGCCTGAGTGTGAGGGGTCTGGGGGTGCTGAGCTTGGCAGTACTGAGTCTGGGGGTGCTGCACCTGGGGGTGCTGAGGCGTCTGGTGAGCAGTCTCCCTGGAGCGGCCGTCTCCGTAGTCGCTCCGCTGGTGCCTCGCCGCTGCCCTCTCGTCGTCGACTCCCCCTCTCCTCCCTGCAGCTGGTTGAGTGGTACCTTGGCCGTCAGGGCCGCGCTGCTGGAGCTGGTGACTCTGCTCCTGGAGCTGTTTCTACTGGAGGCTCTGCGGCTGCTGAGGGTGCGGGCGCAGGAGGTTCTGGAGCTGCTGGAGGTCCTGGTGCTGGTGGCGCTGGAGCTGGAGGTTCTGGAGCTGCTGAGGGTACTGACGCTGGGGGTTCTGGAGCTGCTGAGGGTGCTGGCACTGGAGGTTCTGGAGCTGCTGGAGGTGCTGGCGCTGAGGGTGCTGGCACTGGAGGTTCTGGAGCTGTTAGAGGTGCTGACGCTGAGGGTTCTGAGTCTGCTGTTGCGCGGTCTCCTTGGAGTGGCCGCCTTCATCCACGTGTGCCTCTCACCTCACAGCAGCTGCACGACTGGTACGGTCGCCGTCAGGGTCGCGCTACTGGAGCTAGGGGCTCTGCTACTGGAGGTACTTCTGCTGACGTCACTGGAGCTGGGAGTGGTGCTGGTCTCGGAGGTGCTCGTACTGGGGGTACTGGAGCTACTGGGGCTGGAGGTGCTGAGCCTGCGGGTGCTGCTGCTGGGGACACTGCGGCTGGAGACCCTGGGACTGGGGGTGCCGGTTCTGGGGGTGCTGCTGCTTGTTGAGCTGGCCCTGGAGGAGCTGGCGCTGAGGGTTCTGGTGCTGCTGGAGGTGCTGGAGCTACTGGAGGTGCTGGAGCTGCTGGAGCTGGCGCTGAGGGTTCTGGTGCTGCACCGACTCGACTTTTCTTCGCTCCGCCGTCTCCGTCGTCTCAGCCACCGCCTGACTCTGTGCTTCGCCAGGTTCTTGACCTCCCGTCTTCTACTGGTCTACAGTTACTGCCTGGCTCTCCGCTGCCTGCTCCTTCTCCTTACACTGAGCAGGCAGGGGGTCTTGCTGAGCGTCGTGAGCCTGCGTCGCGTCCTGTCTCGCCTGTTCGTCCTTGTCGTACCGTTCGTCGTGTTCCTCGTCAGCGTCAGCCGGCTGTCCCCGGCACACGCCTTGTAGCCCTGCGTCGGTCCTCTCCTCCGGAGCGTACTCCTCTTCCGTCTCCCCCTGCGTCCTCTTTGCCTGACGTTGCGGACCCTGAGTCTGACCGGTTTCGTGCTGAGCACCCTACTGTCACGCGTCTGCTAGCCACTGTTGTCACTGACCCATCGTTTGAGTCTACTGCTGCGTCTGCCCTGGTCGCTGAGCTTGTTGACTTTGCTGCTGCTTGTCGTCTAGACTTCGCTGCCAGTCTTGTTGCTGAGTCTGAGTCTATCTGTCCTCCGTCCATCGGGGGTGAGTGTGCTCTTAGCACGGACGTTCTTGAGGACAGGCACGAGGACCTTGAGTGTCTTAAGGCTGCTGCGCCTCATCTCGTGGCCATGCTGCTTGCCCCTGAGGGAGACCCGGATGCACCAGACATCCCGACCCCGCGCTCTTACGCCGAGGCAATCACGGGTGAGTACTCCTCTTAGTGGCAGACAGCCATGGACGCAGAGATGGCATCCTGAAAGTCCACAGGCACTTACGTCGATGAGGTTCCCCCTCCTGGGGCGAACATCGTCGATGGCATGTGGATCTTCAGGGTGAAGCGGCCGCCGGGTTCTCCGCCTGTCTTCAAGGCTCGTTACGTTGCTAGAGGCTTCAGTCAGCGAGAGGGAGTTGACTTCTTCCAGACCTTCTCCCCCACCCCGAAGATGACCACTCTTCGGGTGCTGCTGCACGTTGCCGCTCAGCGTGACTACAAGCTTCACTCTCTTGACTTCAGCACAGCCTTCTTACAGGGCAGCCTGCACGAGGAGATCTGGCTGCGCCGTCCACCTGGCTTCACTGGGTCGTTCCCTCCTGGTACCCAGTGGAGCCTCCGGCGGCCAGTCTACGGTCTCCGCCAGGCGCCTCATGAGTGGCACGACACACTGAGGACTACACTTGCGGCTCTTGGGTTCGCTCCTTCGACTGCTGACCCGTCGCTGTTTCTACGCACCGACACTTCTTTGCCGCCGTTCTACATCCTCGTGTACGTCGACGACTTGGTCTTTGCCACTGCTGACACTGAGGCTCTCGCTCAGGTGAAGTCGGAGCTGCAAAAGAGACACACGTGCACAGACCTGGGTGAGCTGCGCAGCTACCTTGGCTTGCAGATCACCCGGGAAAGAGCACGTTGCACCATCACCCTGACTCAGTCACACATGGTGCAGCAGGTCCTTCAGCGCTTCGGCTTCTCCTGGTCCTCCCCACAGCCCACTCCTCTGGCTACAGGTCACTCGCTCTCAGCTCCACCTTCGGACGAGTCCGTAGAGCCAAGTGGTCCTTACCCAGAGCTAGTTGGCTGCCTCATGTACCTGATGACCTGCACTCGACCTGACCTCGCATACCCTCTTGGTCTTTTGGCTCGTTACGTGGCTCCTGGTAGGCACCGAAAGGTGCACATGGATGCTGCCAAGAGGGTGTTGCGCTACCTGTGCAGTACATCAGGCATGGGGCTTGTGCTTGGAGGACGACCAGACTACACAGCGGTCGTCACAGGGTTACACCTTCAGCCTTGGCTCTGGCTCTGTTTCTTGGCGGTCTACACGCTCGTCTTCTGTTCTCAGCTCCTGTTGTGAGGCTGAGATCTACGCCACCGCCATGGCTGCACAGGAGCTACGCTGGCTCACCTACCTGCTGACTGACTTGGGTGAGCGGCCTCGTTCTCCTCCAGTTCTATACGTTGACAACAAGGCGGCCATTGCCTTGTGTGAGGAGCACAGACTGGAGCACAGAACGAAGCACATCGCCCTACGGTACTTCCTGGCTCGAGAGTTGCAGCAGCGAGGCCAGCTTCGTCTTCGCCACATGGCCACTCGGGCCAACACTGCTGATATATTCACCAAGGCACTTCCGTCTGGTGATCATCAGCGCTTTTGTACCCTGTTAGGCCTTGTGCCTACGTTTCCACACTTGCTGTTGACTTTGCTTGTACTTTGATCTCTATATATACCTGCATGCTGGCTCTTGCTAGGTAGTCATCACTGTACTGTTATTGCTGCATATATATCTCTGCATGTGAACTGGCCTTGTGGCCCTTTGCTTGTACTCAGAGTGTGTGGTGACGTTGTGATCCACCCTGAGCTTGCTCTGCTTCTCATGACTGGTCGTGTGACCCCTTGTTCTCCCCCACTTTGCCTATGGGGGTGTGTCAAACATATATGCTGCATATTGTCTAGGCTGTAGTGGGGTAGCCCATATGGGGTACAACCCAATTAGGGTTTACTACTTGTACTCCTGCATGCTGCTAGATTCTAACAGGGCGGCGCGCGGGCTGCAGGGCTCACGGGCTGCAGGGTAGGGCAGCGAGCGGGCTGCAGGGAAGGTCAGCGCGCGGGCTGCAGGTCGTAGGGGAAAACAGCCCTTCTAGGGGCGTGATCGAGGCAGGAAAAGATCCACAGAAAATTGAACCTGTCTTTCTGGTTGTATATGTGAAATTTAAGATCCACAGGAACATTCCACTTCCACATATTTTTCTATAATATCTTGTGCCACACACACTGAATATTCTTACATTTTCAGCTATATTATCTAACCTTGGAAATGCACCAGCGCGCAATTACCGAGGCATTCAGCAGCGCGAGTTCCTCGGGAAAGCATTTTGCACCATTGCTTCCCTTCGGTGCCGTTCGATCTTTTTCAAGAGATTCTGACACACCTTTGAAGCGGTTGGGTCAGGTTCTGAGCAGTACAGGAGCTCCCACAGGCACCCCCTCCCAACCACCACTCATCCCATACAGAAGCCACCTAGTTTACCGCCGCTAGTCGCGGCGCCGCTGCGCCTTTCCTCGCGTGCGTAAGGCAGAACATACAATCGAAGTCGTCGTTGTTTTGGTCAGACCATCCCCTCCGCGCCGGCCCATCCCTCCGCTCATGGCGCACGCACCCGTGCTGGCGGCTCAAGCGCGCATGTCGGCGGTGCAACCGCCCGTGTCGGAGGCGGCGCACGCGCCGTTGTCGGCGCAAGCCGCCGCTCTGCTGCTCTCCGCATTGTCCATCGCCGCGCGCGCGCTGATTGGCTCATTTCATCTCTTCCTCTCCGCGTTCCTCCTCCACGTGGCATCAGTCGCCGCGTCCGCCGCGTCGCTCTGCGTTTCCCCTCTCTCGTCCATCCTCCACGTGGCGAACTCAAACGCAGCATCGACGTCCGACGAGCCTCTCCTTACAGCGGATGCCGCCGCCGCTGGCGGTCGCAACGAGGAGACACAGAAAGACAATGGACGATTACGCAACGCCATTGGACAGCAGTACCCGCCGCTGTTGCTGTACGGCGGACACGTGGCGCACCATAGGAGCCACCCGACGCGCCACGGCTTTAACTATGCGGTGCGCTACGCGCTGGTGAACCTCGACGCACCTCCTGATTGGTTCGCGCGCTCGTCCGCGCGCCACCACATGTCGGCCGACGAGGCGCGCTCGTTCGCTGGGACGGATGGACCCGTGTGAGTTGCGCGATGGGTGGCATGGGTCGGGTGTACTTCTCCCCCCCTCCCCCCCCCTCCCTCTAACAACCCCGCGCGTGTGGGCGAGGAGGTGAGGCGAGAGGGAGTCCAGTGCTCGTCCGCGCGGCGCGGCACCACATGTCGGCCGACGAGGCGCGCTTGTTCGCCGGGACCGACGGACCCGTGTGAGCTGGCTTGGGTGTGATAAATAACCCGGGGTGCAATGGTGTGGGATTTGGTGGGATGGGATTGATGTGCTTCAGCTGGAGTGCGGCCTTCCCCCTGAGCATAGCATGTGGTGGGATTGATATGTGTTGATTGGGCTGTGCACCCCTTGCCTCATCGAGGCTTGCTCATATCGCTGGGGGTGATGGAAATATACGGTTTTGATGATGGGGCTTTCACACCTGTGGAGTGGAGGAGATTCAACACATGTCAGTTGGTCTGCAGAGGGGGGCAGAGGGGGGCAGAGGGGGGCAGAGGGGGGCAGAGGGGGGCAGAGGGGGGCAGAGGGGGGCAGAGGGGGGCAGAGGGGGGCAGAGGGGGGCAGAGGGGGGCAGAGGGGGGCAGAGGGGGCCAGAGGGGACCAAAAAGGACCCAGCAGTTGCCAGCGTGGCAGCACGTGTCACCGACAAGGCTTGCTTGTTCTCTGCAGACTGATAGGCCGGTTTAAGTTGTAATATAAGATCACAAATGCACCACCCAAGTCTGTGCCCGCCCTTTCGATTCACACTTCACCTGAAAGCCTCCCTGTTCCAATCGTTCTTAGCGTTCCCTTTCTGTCAAACGTCCCCCATTTCCCTGCACCCCCCTGCGCTCAGCTTCCTGCTCACCAACCCAGCGAGCATGGGGTACGAGCAGAACCTCATCAGCGTCTACTACTGCTGCTACTGCTACTGCCACTATTGAGTAACAACCCTCCCACAGCATTCCCCCTTCTCCACAACACATCCCGTTGCCACCCGTGTGTGTGTGTCACCATTTCAGCAGCTTCCTACTCGCTAACCAACGAGCATGGGATATGATGAACAGGACGCGTTCACTGTATGCCACTGCTATCGAGTAGCGAACTACCCTCTCACATCACAGCATTCCCCATCTTCCGCTCCACTCCTCCTCCTCCACCCCCCTGCGCTCAGCTTTCTGCTCACCAACCCAACGAGCATGGGGTATGAGCAGAACCCCATCAGCGTCTACTACTGCTACCGTGCCTGCAGCAGCACCGCCGCTAATGGCAGCAGCAGCGAGAGCGAGGGGGAGCAGGAGCCGCTGTTGCCTCCTGCGGAGTCCCTGGCTGTCTGCATTGGCGAGGTGAGATGCGGTGCGTTGCAATGCGGTGGAGTGAGGTGAGGTGAGGTAAGGTGCCGTGCTGCTTCCTGTGTTTTTCATCGTCTCAGTGTGTGCCCTCCGTTTCACAGTCAGCCTTGCAAGAGCTGCCTTCTCCCCGACCTCTTGCTCTGACCTCCCCATTCCAGTCTCCGATTCACTCTATCCACCCACCCTCTCACCACGGCCTCAAACTCCCGCTACCCAACACCCTGTGGACCAACCGAGTCATTAAGTTTCTCACACCCATCCTTGTTGCTTCTCCACCCTTCCCCTACCTTCCCCTCACTTCCCTCCCGCCCTTCCCCTCCCTTCTTCTCCATTCCCCTCCCTCCCTTCCCCTCATTTCCACTCTCTCGCTTCCTTCACCATCGCGTGTCTCCAACACTCCCTCTGCCGATCAAAATTCCTGCCCTCCTCTTCACCCCGCCGTCCCCTGCCCGCATCCCCAACCCTATCCCCTGTGTCGCCCTCCCCTTCTCCTTTCCCCCTCTCTACCACCGTGTCTCTTCTCTACACGCTCAATCTGTTAGTGATTCCTTTCCTCCTCCCTGTCTCCCCGATCCTTTCCTTTCGTTTCCCCTCTCGCCCCAACTCCATAACCCTTCACCACCGCGGTCTAGCAGAGGGGCGAAGAGGAAGGTGACTCGGTCGGTCCAGGGGGTGTCCAACACTCCATGGACCAACCGAGTCACGTTCCTCTGCTGCGCATCACCATCCCTTTCCCTCATCCTCAACCCTATCCCACCTCTTGCACACTCACCCCCAACCCTATCCCCCCTTCTTGCCCTCCCTGTTTTTCCTCGTTTCCCCAACCCTTCCACCACCACCCTAGGTGTCTTACACAGTACACCCCATGGACCGGCCGAGTCACCTTCTTCTTCGCTCCTTCATCCATCCCACTCATTCATGACTCCATATCTTCCCTCTCTCAAGCTCCACCTCACCTCCTCTCCACCTCCACTCCCACCACACCGACTGTCCGACCGACACCCCATGGACCGACTGAGTGACCTTCCTCCCACCGGCCTCTTCGCCCTGCCAACTCCTACCCTTATTTTCAACCCTATCCACCCCCCTTCTCTCCCCACATTCCCCCTCATCACTCCCAACCCCCACCACGCCAGGTGTCCAACACGCCATGGACCGACCGAGTAACCTTCCTCTTTGCTCCGCTGCTAGACCGCGTGCCCAAGCCGCTGCACGTCTCACCCTTCATGGTTCGTTTCCTCTCCCCCTCCTCAGTCGCTTCAAAGCCGCCGCACTTAGTCACACATGCCCAAGCCCCATGCGCGTCTCGCCCTTCATGGTACATTCCATTGACTTACCTCCCTCGTTACTTGTCTCACTGTCTCCGCCCCTCGCTGATGCCATTGGTGCTGCACTTTGGCGGACCTCATTTCGGTGTGTGCCGTGCCATTTTGCCCATCTCTCTCTTCTTTTGAGGACCATGCACGTTTCCATGCTGCTTCTCTTCTCCCCACCGGCTGTTTGCACCGTGCCATGCCCTGCCCTCCACTGTGTTTGCTCCAAGGCAGTCCACAGAGGTCACACGTGTGTTCACTTATGCCCCTCTCACCCCCTCCCGTTCCCATGCCCCTCCCATCCCCCTAGTCCCCTTGCACCTTCCATGCCCATGCCCCTCCCCTCCTTCCCTTCCATCCCCTTCCCATCCCCACCCGCCGCCCTCCATCCTCCCCCACCTGCCAGGACATGCAATCCACATGGGAGATGCGTGCACTGGCCCTATCTCCCTCCTCTATCCCCTCTTCATACCCCTCCCGTCCTTGTGCCCTCCCTCTCCTCTCCTTCCCACACCCCTCCCCCACCCTCCTTGTCAGGACATGCAATCCACATGGGAGATGCGTGCACTGCCCCCCTCCCACCGCATCTCACTGCACATCACCGCTCTGCACCCTGTGCTGGGCTTCAAGGAGGCCGCAGCAGGACCGGAGACACATCAGGGGAAAGGGAATGGGACAGAGACAGGGGACGTGGGGAGTGGGGAGGAGACCAATGGTAGCAGCAGTGATGACAGTAGCATCAATGGCAACAGTAACACTGGTGGCACCAGCAGCAGTGGAGGCAACAACAGCATGGGCAGCAGCATATTCGTGGCTTTTCTTGACATTGACTGCCTGCCTGCATCCCAGCAGCCGTACCTCCTTCCCCCCACCCTGCCCATCCTTCCCTCCACCCCCTCCCTACCTCGGCCTACCACTCCTCCCCAATCCCAACCACACCCACCGTCCTCTGTCCATGCACCCTCGTTCTACGGGCTCTTATCGGAGTGGAGCAGGGAGGTGCGCTGCCGCTGGTGGCTGTGCTGCATGCCGCACCGCGTGGCGTTTTGGATCTACTGGCAGGTGTGTGGGAAGGGGGAAAAAAGGGAGGGAGCGGGAAGGAAGGGATGTGGGGAGGGGGGCGCATAACGCATGCTTGCCACCTCAAAAGGGTTAGCTGGTGGCTGTGCCTCATGCCGCACCGTGTGGCCTTCTGGATCTACTGCCAGGTGCGAGGGATGGGGAATGGGTGGGGGGAGGGGGGGTTGAAGTTGAAAAAGGAAGGGAAAGGAATCGGGGTTGGGAAGAGGAGAGGGGAGTGCATGCTTGCTGGCGTTGGTTGACCTCAAGGGGTTGCTGTTGGCTCCTCTGCTGCATGCCCCACTGTGAGGCGTTTTGGATCTATCTACTGGCAGGTGCGTGGGGGGACATGGGGTAGAGAGGAAGGGGAAGGGAGGGGGAGTTGGGAAGAGGGCAGCACATGCTATTGAGTCGACCCAAACAGGCGGTGGTGCATGCTTGCACCGGCTGGTCTCACAAGGGTTAGCTGCTGGCTGTGCTGCACGCCGCACCGGGATCTACTGGGAGGTGCATGGGGGGAAGGCGAGAAGGGGGGAGGGAGGGAAGGGGCAGAAGGGGGAAGGGAAGCGACAGGGTTTTAAGACGTCTCAAAAGGGGTGTGGAGAAGGTTGCCGGTGGCTGCGGTTGATACTGCACCGTGTGGTCTTCTAAATTTACTAACAGGCAGATGTGTGTGCACAGGGGGGGGGGGAATGAGGCGGGCGGAAGAGAGGGGCTGCTCCAGTGCCTCCAGTGTTTGATGCGCTGCAAGCATGTGTGCATGCGTGTGTGTTGTGCCCAATGCGTGCAAGCCATTAAGCGTGTTGCAACTCATGCCTACGAGTTGACATGTTTCAATGTGTGTTGTGTGCACTGTGTGTTTCATCGCCTACGAAGGGCACACACAGCATGCCTGGGGTCCGACCCGATTCGTCGTCAACACCCCACATTCCCCCCTTCCCCTTCCTCCCCCCCTTTCCCCCTCTCTGCTCTCGCCCCTCTCCCCCCCCCTTCCCCCTCGCACCTCATTGTGTGTCCAGCCACACCTCCTCGCCTCATACTCTCATCCCTCATCATCATCATCCTCTGTCCGTTTTGACGGCGATTCATTTTTGCTGCAAGCTTGTTGTGTCTTGCTGCATGCGTTCACTCTAGACCGATCCACATGCCTTGAACCCACTTATTCTCATCTTTCTCCCTTGCTCGCCTCTGTCAACCACCCCTCCCTCACTCACCTCTCCTCTCAACCCCTGTGGATCAGGCCTTTCTCCTGTGGTGGAAAGGAGTGCCATTGTTTGTGCACCCCAAGTACACTGAGGGGCCTGCTTATGCCGATTCGACACTTGACCGTCTGTCACAAGTTGCATACATTGGCAAGCCTGAAAGTAGTGCCACGTGTCCTGCAATGAACGGGGATGCAAGCCACGGTACACCAGGTTCTTCACTCCAGTGCCCTTTTAAATGGCGAAATGCATCAACATGGCCCTGGAACTGATGGATGGGGGAAGGAACATACTGTGAATTCCTGATTCAGTATTTTGCTTCTTGAGGTCTGAGTAATCCCATTTTGCGAAATGAAATAAGAATGTTTAGGCATTTTACGAGAAGTGTAGTTTTCTTTACTGGCATCACAATAGATCTGTAGCGGTCTAGCTGTTGTCGTGAAACGTCAGACTGCCGAACCGTCACTTTCGATGTGGGAGTTTCGCGTCGCGAAGCGCCTTGCGGCGGAACAAATCCCGCAGCACCACACGATGCGTTGGGTTCGTCAGCCTTTGTGCTGACTGACGGCGACGCTGACGCCTGGCTTGGGCGACGCGGTCGCAACGTGGCGGGAGAATGGGTCGCATGCTGGAAACCTGTCAGAACCGAGACCGAGGCTCCCAAGAACAGTCGCAGCTGTCGTTCGCTATATTCCGAACCACCCAGGCCAAAGCCTCTTTGAAGGCGTGTACACATACCTCACTACGACCCCATCTCTTATGTTATAAGTGAAGTTTCTATGATCAACAGCGCCGATGCTGCTAAGAGGCTAACGAACTGGAGTTATTGGCTTGTGCAATTTTGACCTTCATTCAGGTAATACTGACTCTATTCGGAGCAACCCCATTCTCCCCAAACAGGCCCTCACGCCCCCCTCGGGCTTTGGCTTCCTCGGGGCTCGAAGTTGAAATTACGCGTGACAGCAACCAGGGTGATGCGTGAGGCACGGGGAGTACCTACCATCCTTGGGAATCACACAGCTCGCTAGTCGAATAAAATTTACCGCCTTGTTTCAGGCATTGGTTTCGAAGCGTTTCTTTGGAACTCTGTCTCGGAGACGAGCAGATTAGGCAAGCCCTGGACACCTGCTGAGCTTGATCAAACTTGGTCCAGCATACTCCTTGCCAAGCTCTCTCGACCCGGCGAGGTCATTTCAGTCCAGATCGCGTACTCCTTGTCTTGCTAAAGTATCGAGAGCTTGTTATTCGGGTTACTGTGACCAGCTGTCGAGAGTCTACCGGCAGAATGACCCGACCGCGGCTTCTGAGCGTGGTGTTGGGGATCCTATCCGTGGCGACGATTGCAGCAGCTTACAGAAGCACTCAAGGTACTGTGGCTCAACAACTTAGTTCTTCAGTACGGGTGTATACTTGTCGTGTGTTGAAGTCGACTCAAAGTTCACCTGGTTATACAATCTCCTCGACAGTCTTTCTTGCCCGTCTTGGTAAATAGAAAAATGAGTGCGATTACGCTGTCACTCCGAGTGCCATCCATATTGACTTGTATGGTCACTTCCAACTCACAGTAAGCTACAATGAATCCAACTAAGTTCTGTTACAGCTCATCGACTCTTGAGCATCGTGCCATTCTTACCTCTCAGTCGAGCCATTCTCCTGGCCTCTCTATCTCGCTCTTCTCTTTGTCTATCGTCTCGCTCACATGTAGCATGTCGGTCCTTCACTCCTCATGCCGCGTTTTGCCCTCAACCTATGTCGCCGCCCAATTCCGCGTTACTCCTTTGAACCTTTTTCTGGCTTCTCCTCCTATCCCCCTTTTTGTTCCTGCCTTCCCCTGCCCTCCGCTGCCTTTTCCTACATTCACCCAACTTCCCCTCCCCTCCCGTGCCCGCGTCTCTCCCCTCACCCGCAGCGCCGCTGCGCATCGACTGCGGGTCAGACAGCCCCACGTCGGCCAACGGCCTGGAATGG